CATCAACGCCAATTCTCGTCTATGATTATGTTTGGTACATATTGTGCCGCGTTGCGTAAACTAGAGAAAAATTTCTAAATAACGTTATAGTGAAGCAAATTGTATTCGCCAGTGAAAAAAAGAACAACAAAATCAACTTTTAATTGACCTTTGCGGGAAAAAAACTATGGTTATAAGGCAATAATATTTGCCGCATTAATGCTACATCAACTCGGGGGCAACTTGACAGCTCCAGTATATTACCAGTGTTCCCCGAAAATTTGGTGCTGGTGGTTCTGTCAATCTCACAAATTTCAAAAGTGTTATCTAAAAAGGGCGAATGTGCAAATGATGTACAGTTAAAAAAATTACAGTTTAAAATTCATCTTATTGTCGCGCGCTCACCAAACCACACACGCGACGTTAGCAACATAGGAACTCCAGTGATGCCTGCTAAAAATTTCGCTTTGATTCTCAGTTGTATGCACAATACATAATCAGTTTATGAAACTTATTTTTAATTTTGTGTACCGTGTGTATTTGAGCAGTACAGAACCAAAAGCTTAAAGATATGTGTAAAACGAAAATATATCATTGCCATCGAATTAATTGGAACAAATGAGAATTGTGCTAAATGAATTTTCAGTTTAGTTTCAGTCTTGCATATCAGAAGAATGCATAAGAACACAAGAATAGAGAAACTCAGGAAAGTAAATTTTTGTTTGTTTATACGGCCCATGGTAAGCCTTTATTGCAACACTATGATCAAGAACAAAATAAAATTGAAGGCAGCAAAGTATTTTATTGTCATTTGATTATATAAGAAATGAACCTACATCAATCAGTTTCAATTTGTTTGGATTCTTTAATTTCACCACGAAAATAATAAATTCGCTCTTATTATATAGCATTCTTGCTTGTTGTTTGACATCCACAGATGGAGAAACAGAAAGTTGGATTCCCATAGAGAAATGCCATAGCGACGGTGAAGGACACTCCCATTGTTTATGTTGAGTGGCGACATCTACTATTTGCAAGTGGGTACGTGAAACAAAGGTTATCTGTCACTTTGCCGGGGACTTGTGCTACATGGTGAAAATCGCTGTTGCATTAATTCGCATTGACGGCATTGGCTTTTCACAGAGTGATAGTTCCTTAGGTGCTGTTCATAAACTACGTAGACAATGACAAATTTTAAAATTTCAGGGGTTTCAAGAATCCCAAAAAATTGTATACGTAGTTTATGAACAGCCCCTTTGAGATTTTTCATTTGAGCGACAGCCCGCCATGCTTCACGCACATAATGACAGTTGTTTGTGGGGTTTTCTCATAGGAGTAAAGAGGTACAGTATCGCCGGAAAGGTCAATCAGAAAAAGATCGAAAAAAAAAAATAGCAGACTGCGATAGTGGAAAAAAAGAAGAAGAAGCACTGCATTCTGTATGGCACCGGATCCTGGCACGGAGCCGCACGGAGCGCACCGAATAACCATAGCACGGCACCAAGCCGAATAAAACGGCTCCGCGTTCAGGTTTCTTGTTCGTATCGGTGGCGAGCCGACAAGAGGTACCGAAACCGAGTGCGTGTTAGCTTTGAACGGGGAGCAATATTTTTGCACGGCTCGCAGTGCCGGTGCGTGTTTTCCCAAGTCTGGTTTTTTGGATCTTTGAGTGAATTCGTTGGTGGTTGTATCACGCTGGCAGACGATAAGAAAACTAAAATCGAAGGGGAATGAAGCTGGGTTATCGATGAAATTGGTAGGGCTGGTAATACGGGGATGATAGGAGTGATCGATGTTAAATTCGTGCCAGGAATGTCTACTAACCTGATATCGGTCGGGAAGTTGTCGTTGAAGAACTTTCGAATTGTTTTTCACAAAAGTGGTTGTGAAATACTGGACGCTGAAGGTATATTTTTGGGTACGGGAAACTGCCAAGGCGGTTTGAACGATCTGCGAGTTGCAGAAGCGTCGATGACTGCATCTGAAGGAGTGCATAAACTCAACTGCCAGCACCAGTGGCATTGACGGCTCGCTCATCGTGATTGGGGTGATTGCGGGCTGCGACTGGTGTGCGAATGCTGCATGGAAGGTAAGACAGCTAGGCTTCCATGTCCCCCGGTCCTCGACCGAAAGTCCTGTCGAGTGTTGGACATTGTCCACTCTGACTTATGTGGGCCAATAGATAACTCCAAGTAGCAATCGGTATGTGATTTATTATACCTTCTGCAACAGTAACCGGTAATCTGAAAGATTATGTTCGATGGGTTGACAATATTTTCGGACGCAAACCACACGTTGTGCGCTCTGATGGAGGGGGAGATTTGATAATAAGGAACTGCGGGAGGTTTACAAATCGGAAGCAATTCAACCGCAGTTTACTACTCCCTATTCTCTTCAACAGAACGGTGTTCCCGAACGGAAAAGCAGGGCGCTGACGGAAATGGCAACGTGTATGTTGATTGATGCTAGTTTGAAGAAACGTTACTGGGGTGAAGCAATTCTCACTGCTGCGTACCTGCAGAACCGACTACCATCTAGACCGTTCCCAAAAACACATTATGAGTTGTGGTGGCGTCGTAAGCCGGATCTGAGCCATCTTCGGGTGTTTGGAAGCCAAGCCTACGTGCACATATCAGACGCAAGAAATTAGACAGCAAGGCAACCAAGTTGACGTTCATGTGTACGCAGTGGACTAGAAAGAATATCGTTTCGTGGACCTGGAGACGGATCAAATCATCATAACCCTCGACGCTCGGTTAATCGAGCTCGGGAATGACACTACAACAGTAGAAGTATCGTTTCCGGGTGGAAGCAAGGAGGCTGAAGAAGAAGAAGAAATCGAGCAGTTGCCAAAGAAAGAAGAAACGCCAGTAGAGGATCCGGATGAAGAGGAAGGTGAAAGTGCTCACGAAAACTACTATGAAGCGGAATAGCGGAGAAGAAAATGCATGTTCTAACGTTTGTCGAACAGAACGGTCGACTAGAGGTGTGCGGCCGAAATTCCTTGACGATTTCCTGCTCAAGTATGCTACAAGCATAACAGCATGTGTATTTGAAGAACTTGTTAACTTCAAGGAAGCTATGGAAGAACCCGTGTGGCGCAGGGCGATGAAAGAAGAGTTGGACGCTCATCGGCGTAACGGAACGTGGCGTTTAACCCCATTTTCGGAAGGGCGCAAGGTCATCGGATCCAAATAGGTCTGGTTGGTAGCTCAGGGATATGCAAAACGGTTTGGAGTTGATGTTGGTAAAGTGTTTGCTCCCGTTACCAGTCAAGCAACTTTTCGCACGTTCCTGACAGTGTCAGCGAAACACAATATGTTCGTTCAACACCTAGATATCAAGACGGCGTATTTGCATGGAATCCTCGAAGAATAAGTCAACATGCGTGAAACCTCCGAGTTTCGTTTCTCCCGGAAAGGAAAATCTTGTCTGCCGTCTTCAACGAAGCATATATGGTTTGCGTCAGTCATCTCGCTGTTGGAACAAAAGGCTCGTGAAAATTTATTCAAGGCAGTAAAGGCAGATCCCTGTTTGTATATGAACGACAGCGAGAAGGCTAGAGCACTCCTGTTAGTATACACTCAGGTCTTTTTTTACACGGGGGATACGTACAGTGTAAAAAAAAACCGTGTAAAAAAAAACCTACGAAATTTTGATTTTTTGCATGCTTAAATGTTTTTAAAAATCGAATTTTGATGCCATTTGTAATTAAAGCATGATATGATCCATACAGACATATTTTAAAAATTTCTGTATTTACACCAAAAATTGTGATTTTTTTCTAAGTATGCCATTCGATTACCTATAGCTTGAAACGGATAATGTGATTGGAATCAAGTCGATAAAAAAAACCTACCGTGTAAATCGTGGAAAACCGTGTAAAAATAACCGTGTAAAAAAAAACCGCGTAAAAAAAACCGTGTAAAAAAAGACTTCAGTGTACGTTGATGATCTGTTGTTAGCGTCTACGGATGTAAGCAAGATAAAAAACATCAAGGATTGCCTGAATGTGGAGTTCGAGTTGACCAGCCTAGGGGAAGTGCGGCATTTCCTAGGAGTTGAAGTGAAGCATCGAAAGAAGCAATGCTTACCTCTTATCTCGTTTTACTTTGCTTCTCATCTGCATACCGGACATAGCTAACATCCCGTAAAAAAAAATCCAATAAAAATACAATGATTTACATTGTCATTTATTTATTATTTACATGATATTTACTGTCAAAACATTTGACATTTTTGTCCATTACCATAAAATCACAACGAAATTCAAAGTTCACAATCACAACAATGCAAATCATGGTATTTGGGAAATTTACAGTAAAAAGGGGGGTTAAGCATCTCAACAATAAAAAAGTGATTTTTCTCGAACAAATTTTAAATCATCACAATAATTTTCATTGTGTGAGCATTGTATCGTTGAAAATCGAAATTTATTTTTTCTCCCGTACAATTATTCAACAATAAATTTTAAAATACTCGAAATTCAACAGTAAAAATCAATGTTATTGCGTTGTTTTATTATAATTTTTTTTCGGGCTGCTATACAGCTACCATGGATCGTATTTCGACAGTTTTTTTTTTAAATATTTATCCGACTAACATATCAAGAGCAAATTTTCATTACGTCGAAAGTTACAAAGGTAAACAAAGTCGAGCTATCAGTGTCAATCGATGCTCCTGCTATTACATATATCCAAATAAAGGATCACATCCCATTTTAAAATTTATTTACCAGTCAAATTGCTATTTGACGTAATCACCTTCCGATCAAAATATTTTTCCATGTTACTTAAGTCACCCAATTTCTATGGAGATGCCGTTTGTCTTAAGTAACAGCGCAGAGAAACCCCTGAAAAGTGTACACTGAGATAGTTGATCATATTTCGTTTATGTGTCACACACATAGATTTTTGTAATGTGATTACGCAAATGAAATTTATGTGTGAGACACATAATTGCATTCAATCAGAGTCCAATAAAATTTATGTGTGGTCACACATGCAAATCATAGCTTATGACAAATGAATATCATTTGTCGATAAGTATTTGTGTTTGTTTATTTATATTGTTTGCAATGTTTGGAATTCATTTGCTGAGAGAAAAAAATAATACGCTGAATGCACTAGGTATATAACAAAATATATTTTTTTTAGGTCTAACACTGGTTTTCCTTTTCAGGTAACCGATCAATAAAGTCTCACCAACTGGTCCAGCCGTGGAGGACTTTGAAGACGATTATGTGTGATGCCTTCTTTTACCAGACATAGATCTGCTCTTCGGATGAGTTCTAAAGTAGCGTTTGATTGTGATTAGTGATATCCTGTTCCGGAAGATACTCCTAATCATGATAGAAGCTCTGATAGCTCAGTTTAGTCACTATGTGTTTCGTCAGTTACGGTTGCATGGTATGAGATAAGCGTTCGCCGACATCTGAAATTAGAAAACGATTTGAAATTAGATCGAAGCTTTAAACTTTAAAATCATTCCTAAACTTACTCCTACCCATTAATGCTGAATTTAATCCTCGATGTCCAAGGCATCTTCGTCAGCAAATGAATCCACTTGCTTCTTGTTACTCATTGAAGTTTTTCATAGTGCTGCTAATGCTGTGGTGAATCAGGAATTGAACCTCCCGATGCAGAAACTCTGATGAGCTGTTTCCTTGAGAAAAACATAATTATAACAATTGAATTATAGGTGAAAACTTTTCAATGATTTTTCGTAATATTTACCTTTCAACACATTCAGTAACTTAACATGAAACTATCGATTACATTTTTAACAATTGATTGTCGGTCTCCATTTTAAAATTCACCGCTTCCGTGGTCGGACAGTCGGTGTACATTTTTGTTATGTGTGTCCACACATATTTTATGGTATATAGGGGAAACAGCCCTATTGTTGCGGTACGTTAGCAGCGTTAGAAGCTTCTAACTCTGCTAACGTACCGCAACAATAGGGCTGTTTTCCCTACCACAACACATGACGTTCATTTGAGAAACACATACTTGGTATATGTAAAAAAAAACATGACGTTTATGTGTTGTTTATAAACTTTATGTGTAGGGCGTTCTATGAATGTTATGTGTAAAATCACATAAATAATATCTTTGCAGTCTTATTAGTGTACGTTCGTCGTTTCACTTTCTCATTATTAAAGTGAATAAATCGAATTGTTTGTTGCTAAGATGATTTCGGTGGTCCTAAAATGATGAATGGGTTGCAGGTAAGGAGACGTGTTTGATAATGCTCCCAAATATTCTGGTAAATACACTTTGACTTAAGCATCATTAGGGGCCACCAAACGACGTATAATAACTTTTGACTCAAAACCAGCATGAAAGCTAGCGATCTGCTTTGTATGATTAAAACCCTGCTTAATATGTTAAACATTGCTATCACTATGAGATTATATGTGTTCAATTGGTAAAAGGAATAACTTTTTGGTCATCAAAACAATACTTTATTTTTCTCGGATCGGTGCGAATGTTACTTTCGACATAATGAAAATTTGCTCTTGATATGTACCACTAGCAGATAAATAAAAGTCCAAGTAATAGTTTGTGAACTGAAGTGTTTTATCTCCTGTTTTTTTCATTCCGAAAGTTCTGCCGAGGTGTATTTTAATTGTGTTGGCCTCTGAACTCTGCCGTTAGCTGTACGTCTTGAGTGTCCAGCCCCTTGCACTCAACAAGTCCATTAACCCAGTGGGCTATGTTGCCCCCATTGAAAGGTTACACCACTGCTTAGAGAAATAACAAAGACATCAATACCTTCGCTTTTTATTCCATGTTTTTCTCTTTTTGAATAAACATTTGAACCAGTTAGTTCTGTCGGTCTCGTTGGGTTTTCCTTTTGTGGTCATTCGAAAACCCACTTTAGATTTTGGGCCCGGTAATCTTTTTATCGGTTCCGTTGTGTTAGCTTGAAGCTGAACGGTCGCAAGAATAATGAAAACGTTATATTGTGCGAGCCATGCGTCGCGGCCAAGCAAACGCGAAATCCTTTCCTAGTGCGTAAAGAACCGCGACCGTCGCGCATTCTCGAACTCGTACATTCCGACGTTTGTGGACCGATCAAGCCGGTTGGTGTTGGCATGAGATACTTTGTGACTTTTGTGGATGACTGGAGCTAATTTGTGATGGTGTTCTTAATGAAATCAAAAGACGAAGTGTACGACTGCTTCCAGCAATATGCCACGCTGGTATCGGCAAAGTTTGGTTGTAAGATTTCGTGTTTGCAGTCTGATAACGGGGGAGAATATAAAAACCGCCCGTTCATGAAGTTTTGTGACCGAAGTGGAATCCAGATCGAGTGGACGGTAGCACATACCCCGGAATAGAACGACGTTTCCGAGCGCATAAACCGCTCTCTCGGGCCATGCTGGAAGACTCCAGTGTGAACAGGGTTTGCAGTCTGATAACGGGGGAGAATATAAAAATCGCCCGTTCATGAAGTTTGGTGACCGAAGTGGAATCCAGATCGAGTGGACGGTAGCACATACCCCGGAACAGAACGACGTTTCCGAGCGCATAAACTGCTCTCTTGGGCCATGCTGGAAGACTCCAGCGTGAATAAGTGCTTGTGGGGTTATGTCGTACATACTGCAGCCTATCTTCTGAACAGTAGCTCCTCCAGCGCAATCTATCCCTATATGACTCCGTACCAGCTGTGGGAAGGATCAAAGCCAGACGTCCAGAAACTTCGAGTCTTCGGTTGCTTCGTGTTTGTCCACATTCCAAAAGAGCAACGAGGTAAGTTGGGCGCTAAATCTTGGAAAGGGCTATTCCTAGGCCATGCTCACAACGGCTATAGAGTGTGACACCTGCCGAAACGGCAGATTGTGCACGTTCGTAACGTCGATTTTGTAGCGTCCATGCGCGGGAAAAATACTCCGGGATGTGGTGGTGAGCGAGATGTTCTCTCCATGATGATGATGAACAATCCGAATTGGTTGAACAGGCACAGGATGCAATTTTGGACGTTCCGGATACGGACGAGCAGAACGGTGGTTCCAGAGTGGAATCGGTGTCGGAGTACGAGAGTTAATTCGAAGAAGACCACACTGGAGCAGAATCAGAATCCGGTTCGAACAACGATGGTGAGAACGATCCAGCGGAACCCATCAGCTCCGGTCAAACAGTGCGTGAGCGGAAACCACCGGCGTGGCAAGCTGACTATGATATGGAGTGCGCAGCGTATGCGCTGAGCGCCACGGAATACGTCGAGGATTTGCCAAGGACGCTGACCGAAGCGAAAGCACGGAAGGACTGACTGAAACTTGGACTTTGGTCAAGCTGCCAGGAGATAGAAAGCCGGCCACAAGCCGCTGGGTTTTCAAGATAAAGCTTGGCTTGAACGGGTAACCGGATCACTATAAAGCACGGCTATTGGACAGAGGTTTCGACCTCGGTTTCGACTAAAAGTTCGGTTTCAATTATAGTGAAACATATTCTCCGGTCGCCAAACTCGACACTTTGCGTTCTGTCTTGGCGATTGCTTGTCGGGAAAAAAATGGTGGTGCATCAAATGGATATTTGTAACGCCTTCTTGAACTTCACTGAGGAGATTTTTATGACGCAACCGGACGGGTTCACAAAAGGAAAGAACCTAGACTGTCGTTTGAAAAAAATCCCTCTATGGCCATAAACAGGCATCTCGTACCTGGAACAGCCGATTCCAAAACTTCGTGGTGAACCATCTTGGATTCAAGCAAAGCGCCAATGACCGGTGCTTGTACACCCGCGGATCTGGAGCGATTAGGGTGATTATGGTTCTTTACGTGGACAACATACTGATTGCCCGAGCGTCGCTTATAGCAGTCCAGATGGTGAAGGTTTCTCAAAGGAACTCGAAATTAAGGACATTGGTGAAATCAAGTGCTTTCTGAGACTGCAAGTTAACTACGAACTGTGTACGACATAACCCCAAAAGCACTTGTTCACGCTGGAGTCTTCCAGCTTGGCCCGAGAGAGCAGTTTATGCGCTCGGAAACGTCGTTCTGTTCCGGGGTATGTGCTACCGTCCACTCGATCTGGATTCCACTTCGTTCACACTCGTACGCTTCGTCTTTTGATTTCATTAAGAACACCATCACAAATTAGCTCCAGTCATCCACAAAAGTCACAAAGTATCTCATGCCAACACCAACTGTGCGGTGTGATGAAGATAACTCAGTGACACTATCTGTAGAACGTCCTGAAACGCTTTAAAATGGAGGACTGCAAGCCGTGCTCAACGCCCATCGAGAACCGCCTGAAGCTGCCGAAAGGGATCGAACAGAAGCGAACCGCGCAGCCGTTCAGGGAACTAGTTGGTTGCTTGTCATACGCAGCCCTAACCACTTGACCGGATCTGGCAGCGGTAGTGAATGCGATGAGCTCATTTGAAAAAAGATACTGCGATACGTCAAGGGATCGCTCGATTTCGGCCTGGTCTACCGTGCGAATAAAGCAGCGTTGCTGCTGGAGGTCTTTTCGGATGCCAACTGGACAACGACTCCTCTGATCGTAGTTCCGTAAGCGGTGGTGTGTTTAAGGTGCTCGGAAATACAGTGAGCTGACTTACCAAGAAGCAATAAACCGTCGCTCTCTCATCGACCGAGGCAGAGCTGACAGCCCACGATTTGGGATACAGCAGCAAGGAACCGATATGCGTTTACGAACACTTCCGCTTTTCATTCCATGTTACTCTCTTCTTGAATAAACACGTTTTCTTTGAACTAGTTAGTTCTGTCGGTCTCGTTGGTTTTTCCTCGAGTGGTCATCCGAAAACCCACTTTAGTAAGTATAGTATAGCGGGTCGAAAACTTTGGTGACTAACCTGCTATTGCTATTTTTCAGTGTACCACATGGCAACACCACTACTACTGGATTGTACCACATGGCAGCACTACTACCAACAATCAATACGAAACTAACGATTTTAAATTGGCTCACCACTTTAGTAGCCTATTGGTCCCAAGCAAACGATTAACGTACCCTATTCTAGTTGAAATTCTATTACTACACTATGTTTGGTTTGATTCGCTATGAAAGTTTGACAGATAACATCAGGGGTGTGTGGATTCATGCAGAACATGCAGGGGTGAGTGAAATAGCTTGGGACTGCTTGGGACCGTTGTTCTGGTACTGAGTGAGCCAAAAATAATAATGATTTTCTTCGGGACCCAGTGGTCTTAGAGTTACCTCTATGCTACTACTGGATTGAACTAGCATTTTCATCAAATGTACTAGAATGTTTTGGTTCTATCTGTTTCACTCAACCAAAAACTGAAATGCATAAAAAAATGACAAAATGATACACTCTTTGCACACTGTCAAAAAATCAACTTAGTGCAAAACCAAAACAAAAATAGTATCCCATCTGGTGGATGATGGCACAAGCTTCTAAGAAAATTCTATTACAGCGAACCACATTATTTTAATGGATTTCTTCACCAGTTAGTCGTCTGTCACTTCGTTTGGGGTTAAACTGGACTGAAGGGAAATAACCAGGCCAGTGACAAGGCCTATACCAACAGCAGCGTTTGACTATTTATTTTGCTGTACTGGGCCCGCTGTCATGGTATAGGAACTGCAACTGGCAAATATTGAGTCCGTACGAAATTACTGCCAACATTACTTAACATTGCCTGGTAAGAGCTCGGGTAAGAGTCGAAAGAAATAGTTGATATAAAAATAAATCAAATTTGCAACATAAGTCGAACTCGCCCAAGTTTCCCATTGGTGGGGACGAGTCTGGTGTATTGGTTTACATCCATTTATTTCGTTCTAATGGTCACGAGTTCAAATCTGATCCCCGCACAAGTCTTGAATGACCTAAAATCATCGACGAAC